TGCACATACCTCCCACCCCTTTCCCACCTCGCTTTCCTCACACACTGGGGGTTGGGGCCTAGCTCTGAGGGCTGTGGGTTGGGAGTGAAGGGTGTTGCCATGGCTGGGGGCCTGTGGGTTGGGAGTGAGGGGCATTGACAGGGACTGGGGGACTGGGGATCAGGAGTGAGGGGCACCTGCAGGGCTATGAGTTGGGAATGAGGGGCAACAGCAGGAAGGTGCCCCATCTACCTTGTTGGCAGATGACCAGAAGGAGTCCAAAGGTCGAGCGTCCACTGCAGACGGTGATTTGGAACTGGAGGAAGGCTCAAAAACGCTTGTGTTGTTTTCACCTGGTGACTTGAAGAAATCTCCTGTTACTGCAGACTTGGCTCCAGAAGTTGATCTAGGGACTCTTGCTGCATTAACACCTCAGAGTGAGCGGCCACAACCCATGGGTAGTCAGCTGGATGTATCAGAGCCAGGGACCCTATCCTCAGTCCTTAAATCAGAACCAAAACCACCAGTTGCAGTGGCTACTACTTCCTCCCCATTTACCAAAGTTGAGCGCACATTTGTTCATATTGCTGAAAAGACCCACCTAAATGTAATGTCCAGTGGCCAGCTGGTGAGGCAGGATGATTACTGTCCTCCCAGCCAGTTTGAAGAGATCATCGAGGAAGAGCTGGAAGAAAATCCTGTATTGGTAGAAAACGGGACTTTGCATTCTGGTTTACAAGGTGCAGAGACAGAGAGCAGTGCTTTCTCAGCTAATCATGTTGAAACAACCTCAGAGATGACAGGAGAACAACCATCACTTCCTAATGGTGTAGTCAACCTTCAAGAGGAATATATCGAACTCAAAGATAAAGTGGAACTTGCACAGGATTTGGAAGAAACTGGTAAACTTATTTCTGAAGAGATAGTCCTTGAAAAAACAATTCCCATAGCCGAGAACCTCCATGAAGCACCAAAGCAAGGCCCCAGGAAGTTTCTGGGCTCCAGATACAGAAGCCGGATTCCTATCTTGTTCTCAGAAGAGGACACTGGCTCAGAGCTTTCAGCCTCTCTCTCAGGCAAAGAAAGACTTTATAAGAGGTCAAAACATCCAGACTTAGCTCGCCTAGTGATGGAGAAGAGGCAGAACCGTCTCCTCAGATTGGCTTCTGGGACATCCTCCTCAGCATCCTCTAGTGATGAGAGGCGCCGGGCCTCAGAGACCCTGTCAGCCACTGGCTCTGAAGAAGACATGCATGACTCTGATGACTCCATCCTAAGAAAAGCAGAGGAGGAGAAAGTTCCCTTTCTGGGTAGGGAAGAAAAAACCTTAAGCACGAAGAGCAGAATCCCTCGCCCCATTGCACCTGTGAAGACACCACCAATGACAATAAAGTTTTGTAGTCCATCAGCAGTTGCACCACTAATACCAAGGAGCTCCCCACTAGATACTGCTCTCACAAGCAGGTAAAACAGGAGTTCTGTTGTTCAGTCATCATAGTCTCTAGGTTTCTTCAGATTTGTTCACCCTTAGCATTCAGGCCTCCTTGTGCTTACCTTAGCATTGGGGATGGAGGGGAGAGGGAGGGAAGGAGGAGGGACAGCCAAGAGTACATTGTGCTGGCTGCTCTGCACACATAATGGCATTATCCCTGTTACTGAAGTGACAGCAGTGTTCAGAAAATGAACACCATGTGAAAGGTTTGGGAGAGGGGTACAAATCACACACACAGTGTGTGACATAAAGGCAGTTGGAGAGCATAAATACTCTCTATCTCACTTTTCTTCAGCCAGGCCCTATGATCCAGCTCCAGCCCCACTGGCACATGGTCCTGGGGACCATCCTTTAACCCCCTTGATCTCAGCCATGCCAAGGGGTCTGTTCCCTCTTACACTTGGTCTGTCTGTAAGTCCCATCCCCCAATGCTCCTGTGCCTGGCTTAACTGTGGGGTCAACCCACTGACCTCTTAATACTGAGCCTGGTTATAGAATCTATCCCCCATCATTTCCCTCCACCTGTTCATGGAGCCCCCCCTCAGCCCCTCAATTCTTCTGGCTGGGTCATAGCATCAACCCCTCAATTTTCTTGTGTTTGGCCTGGCTGTGGGGATCCAACCTCCTCAAATAGTCTCCATCAGTCTAGCCCTGAGATGCCTTTTCCAAATACTTTTTCACTCAGCCTGGCATGGGATCCACTCCCAACTCTATTATGCTCAGTCTGGCTAGAGCTCCTATTCTAAATGACTTGAACTGGCCTTACCGTTGGGGTCCCTGCCCCCTGTCTTCTTACACATGTCCTTTTGTCTGTTTCAGTACTGTGTTACATTTTGCCTTCAGCTTTCATTATGCTGGCTGTGTCTACACAAGGCACTGACTGCACAGTAGCCTGAGACTACTGCGCAGTAGCACTGCATGGCAGAAACTGTGATGTGATGCTGCTGCACAGTTGCCTTGAGCTACTACACAGTCAGCATCACAAAAAAGCTGTTTGTCTGTTTATACAAGTACTAAATGACTGTGCAGTAACAATTGCGCAGTCAGCATCTTGTGTAGATGTGGCCACTGTGTCTTGCCTTGAAGCCATCTGGACTGGCCTGCCCTGGGTGTTATTACTACAAGACTAGGGCACAGAGGACTCAGCATTCAAAGCTAGATCTAGAGTTTCCAAATTGCTCAGTGCCCAGCCAGTTCTCAGCATAGATACAGAGCTGTATTTGCCCCTAGGAGTACAGTTGGGGTGGATCCCACACACTGGAGAAGGACAAGTACAGATATATGCTACAACTCTCCTCTTGGATATATATTCCAAAGGCCCCACCAGTGCCAGAGCAAAGGAGTTGGGGATGGAGGGGAGAGGGAGGGAAGGAGGAGGGAGAGCCGAGAGTACATTGTGCTGCTGCTCTGCACACATAATGGCATTATCTCTGTTACTGAAGTGACAGCAGTGTTCAGAAGATGAACACCATGTGAAAGGTTTGGGAGAGGGGTACAAATCACACATAAGCCAGTAATTCTCAACCTTTTTAGATTAAAGGCACTCCTTGTTAGGCTCAGGGCTCAAGGAAATGCCAGAAAATACAGTAATTTTTCTATTGCACAGAACTCAGAACGGCTACAATGGTTCAGAATTTTTTTAACACTATGAGCATGTCTACATGAGATGCTTTACTGTGCAGTACAGCTAATTACTATGCAGTAAGTGTCTGTGTCTACAAATGCTGCAACAGAATGTGCTGATGCTTACTGTGCAGAAATTCACCCTAATCACAATTTGCTACCTGAAAATGCAAAATGGTCAGCTGGAAATAAGAGATCCTTAGCTCCTAGTGCCAGCTCCGTGGTCATGGGGCTGGTGCTGGGAGATTCATTTCTCCCAGCCTGGGCCCCACAGTCATGGAGCAGGGGCTGGGAACTCAATGCTGCCAGGGCAGGGGGACATTGCCTCTGCCCAGGCTTCAGTGATGGAGCCTGTCCTGGTAGCAGGCAGCTCCCAGGGGCAGGGAGCTATGTCCCAGCCCCCTCCAGGAGACAGCTGTCTCTTGGACCCTGGGCTAGTGCCCAGGTAGAGCCTAGACCTTTTCCTGGCTGCTGCAGGGCCACAGAGAGTGGGAGCAGTCTGCTGTGAGGAGCAGCAAATCTGCTTATGCATCCCTGCGTATGTAGACATGTACCCTGGAGTACTACTCCAGTACTCTCCAGTAGTTTACTCAAGAGTAAACTGCTCCCGGATTATTTGCATATGTAGATGTGCCCATAGTAGTGATCACGTGGGTCTACACATAATCGCCAGCTATGTTGCCATAGTGACACGCTCCCCCAGCATAGTGTGCCATTATGCCAACGTAGTGGCAAAATCTAACTGTGCGTTGTGCACATGGTGCAGTAACTGCCCTTACTGCACCATGCTTTAAGCACGGTGCCATAGCAACATCGCCATATGACAATGCATAGATGTGCTCTGTGTGTTCTTATTTGAAATTATTGGGCATATTTTGCACACCTAATTGTGTTAACGTTGCATGGCCTCCCTCAGCACTCCTAAAAGGATCTCAAGGCACTCCAAGATGTTGTGGCACTGTAACAGGGGGCCTTCTCGGGGCTGATCTCACTGTGGCCCACCCACCTGTTTCTGGGGTAACCACCCACCTTCTCACCTACCATGCCTTGTTGGTAATTGATTAATTGTTGTTAATTAAGTGGGAGGCTGCCCATTTCCTGCCCCAATGCCAGGGGGTGCTATCTGTGGCTCCATTCCTCCCCTTCACCACAGCCCAATTCTCACAATTACTGGCCCCTCACTGGGCCCCAGGATCCTACTGTTTGAGCCCCTCTACAATCCCTCTATTCCAGCGGCCTAATCCGCCTTCAGCCTGGGCAGCATAGCTCCCTGAACGGCCTCCTCTTCTGGGTGTGGTCCCCCCTGGAACCTTTGGCTCACTAGCCCTGGCCCATCTCCAGGCCAGTCAGAACCCCAGGCCCTCAGCTCTTGGGCATTCCTTGTGGTGGGCCTCTGCCCTTTGACTGTTCCGATCCTGGCCCCAGCATTGACCAGTCAGGGGATGTCCAGACAGGTGCGAATCTATGGCCCCGCTCTCTCACTGGGGTCCACCTTCTAGACCCTACAAAGGGGTAACCCACCCAGTTGTGAAGGCTAGGAGTTAAGGCGCCCCGACCCACCTTTCACTGGGGTGGTAACTGGCCTGGGGGCTCCCACGCCACTGAGAGCCCCACCAGGCCACCTACTCCCGGCAGGGTGCAGTTTTAGGTTGTACCCAGGACCAGGAGCCTCCTGACCAACCCCACTGGCTCCTGCCCTTACCTCCAGATGATACCAGCACCCCTGCAGCCAGGCAATGTTGCTGCCTGGCCTCCAGCAGCAAAACTGCCCTGTTTATATGGGCAGCCCTAGGTTCAAAACGGCTGCCCTCATCAGGCACCTGGCAGCTGCCAGCTTCAGGCCCTTAAAGTGGCAGGCATACACAGTGTCCTGCTACAGGCACCCTGGTTGAGAATCACTGGCATAAGCTTTCCTGAGTCGGTACTCACTTTGTCAGATGGCATAGTATGTGATGAAGTGAGCTTGGGGTCACAAAAGCTTATGCTATATATCTCTGATTTAATTAGTCTATAAGATCTACCCTGCTCTCTACCTGACTTCAGATTAACATGGCTAACTACCTCTCTCTCCTCATCATTTCCTACATGTCAGATATGATAAATCTCTTCCAAGTTTCATCAGTCTTTGTTAATACTAGCTTAGCTTCTTAGTTCCTAGACCATGAGCCTGGTAGAGCTCTACCTGGCTCAACCCCTGGTAGAGCCTGATAGACCCATGAGCCTGTGCTATAAGCACAGCATTAGAAAAGCTTCTAAATTAGGCCTTAGAGCAGTAATTCTCAACCAGAGAAGGGTGCCTCAAGTCTAAAAAGGTTGAGAACCTTAGAGGAACTTTGTAGATTCAGAACAGAGAAGCCTGCATGTGAATCAGTGCTGCAGTTCTAAGATTTAGAAACATGGTGCACATGCTGGTTCCCTCTCTTTAGTCTTCTATTATTGGTTCAGTATTGAGGCCACACAAACTGGCAAGTTTTCCCAGCACCTGGTGGTTGGGAGATTCCCTAGCAATATTTTTGCCAACTCTGCAAGTAGCCGAGACCCTAGTACAGAGGTGTCTCCTCATCTCCCCTCTGTTCTCTCCTTGCAGGCTTCATGCACAGGGACCAACTGGGAGTGTGTCCACTGACACCCGAACAAAGCAGATGCAAAACTGGCCTCCTTCCTCACCAAGTCCTGCTCCTCCTCCCCTGCGAAGCAGCCCCAGGACAGCCAGCTGTGGTCCCCCTCAGAGTCCTGTCCTTCCCCCAAAAAATCTCAGTGCTTCCCCCAAAAGCCAGGTGTCCAGAAAGGAAAGTCCTTCACCATCTCGGCAGCATAGGTCAGGGACTGCCATTCAGCGAATTCAACCTCCTCCCAGGTCCCAGCCCAGAGTCCAACCAGGGGGTCTGAAAGGAGATGCTCCAACATCCCAGGGCACAGCCAGAAAAGGACAAAGAGGGAAAACCCAGACTGAGAGTCCAGCAACCAAAGGAAGGCAAATGTCTGTGGAAGGCAAGGCCACTGTCAGATAATGGTCTTCTGCTGCCAACCCTTCAGGCTTGGTAACTTTTACATATAGTATACACTTGAGATGCTGCAGCACAGCCTTACATGCCAGAACCACAAGCGTATAGCAAATAGCTGTACTTCAGTACTTCACTCACTCTCATGCCATCGCGATACAGCTCCTACGGGGCCTCTGAGCCATGGAGTCTCTCACAGGGGGATCATCCAGGCCACAGCTCATGCTTGCTATTGCAAAGCACCAAGCAGTGACTCAGGCAGCCTGCCGAGTGCCTGACCCTCATTTGTCCCTCTGTAGTATCCTTTCTCGGTTAGCGATATCAGAGTCACCAATACCAAGTGCTGATACTTTAGCTTTTGAAACAGGTACAAAGATTATGGGAGCAGGTGCTACATCCACCTGGAGGAGTGGGCTTCTGAACTGGAGGTGGCTCCAACCCATCTTTGTGTTTCTCTGGGGAAGTGTTCCTCTCATGCTGTGCTATACCTGATCATTGACAGCAATGGTTACAACCAAATGTCTCAACAGCTAACCTGCTTCAGAGTAGCATGAATTGACCTCTGTCATAATGAGTCCAGAGGAGAGGAGTGGCCTGAAACTCGCTTCCATTTCCAGGGAGTTCTAGCTGGCAAGTCAGAGAACCAGATTGGAGAGGGTGTCCTTGGGGTGAAACCCTGCTGTATGTGATAAGCTCCCAGTTGCTCCAGTGTGTCCTACAGAAGAGGAAGCCTGGCACTGCTGCTCAATGTCCCACCCCTAAAACAACACTTATGTTGCTGCAGGTGGATCAGTGAGGAGTATTTGTGCTGAAGCAGACTGCATTGACAGCTTGCAAGGGACCCAAGGGCTTCTGCTGACTGCCATAAAGGGATCAGATTGCAACCATCTTTGTATTTAACACCAGGCTGTGACTTGGGGAGGCTACAGCCCCCAGCATACAGCTGTTCCCATAGTCCCTACCAGCTGTAGCTCTTTGTTAAAGATATGGGTGGCCCCTGGATCCCTTTAGCTTAGGTGCTATTGCATCTAAATGCCTTGTGTTCTATAGTCACGCTCCCAATGTTTGTGAATTTGGCAGTGTGACTCTAAATTGCCCTTCAAAGTAGGATGTGGGGGTGATTATTGTACTATATGCCTGAAAGCTGCTGATTTGTAGGCAGGGATTTTCTGGTACCTGGTAGGCATCCTGTTAATTTTTTCTAAACTAGGGGGTACAGCCAGCTGATTCTGGGAGGATAGGTTTCTTTCTCTTCCAGGTTTTGAGGGGAAACAAGCAGTGCAGAGTAGATTAAGGGTCGTGGTCATGCAGTTGTGTTCAGAGCAAAATATTGATTCTCATTTAAAAACAAAACAAACAAACAAAACTTTTTAGCCCTCAGGGCTGAGAAGAAGGTGTGGACCTGTGACCAGAGTATGACTGATAGAACAATGCCTGCCTGAGTTGCAGAGTAACTGAGACAATTAGTGAGAGGGGCAAAATGATCCATGCATCTCTATTTAGGGGGAAACTCCCAAGCTCTGCTGATTAGGTTGCCACCTCAATACTGCCCAGCAGTGGACTTAGTGTGGCAGATCAAAATAACAGTGGGCTCTGTCCACCTGCTCCCTCAATTGCACCTTGCAGCTGGGGTAAGTATTTGCAGATTTCATGAAGACTAGAGCTGGGACTCTGGCTTGCATGAAAAAACTGGACTCATTTGAGGAGCACACTTTTAGAACTGTCAAATGCAGGGCCATATATTTCTAGAAAACAAGAAAGTAATTCACACTTCTAGGATGTGAAGTGATAGAAAGTGACTCTGGAACTGTGATGCAGTGGTTAAGAAAGATAACACACTTCTTGGGTATGTGGGGAGTATCCAGCAGATGTATGGGATGGGATTACTTCTCTAGCATTAGCTGTGTTACTGGCACCCAGTATTGTGTTGTATGTCCCAATATTTGGTGTTTTTCTTCAAGCTCCTACTCCTCAAATTGTGAGAATCACAGATTCAAGTATGTTTCTAACCTTCCTGATTTCAGAGAAAAACCAAAAACTGTGCTAAATGTAGCATACAGACCAAGAAACCAGAAGGTAAAGGGAAAAGCTGACATCTATTATTTCTACAAATGTGAATTTTATCCAGTATCTTATAGAGTTTGTGGGGGGGAGCAGAGCTGGCTTTTCATTTATTTTTTAAAATGTTTTGTTAACTTGAACCACTGAGATCACTGTTAGATACCATTTCCAATTTTGTGTATGCACTGCAGAAGAGACATGGACAAAGTGGAAGAGCTTGAAGAAAGACCAAGAATGCTTGAGTGATTTGAAAACCTGTCTCAGAGTGAGAGACTAAAGAAGCACAATGTCCTTAGTTTATCCAATAGGCAGTTAAGGGGTGATTTTTTTCATGGTCTATAAAACTGTGTTGGGAAGAGATTTCTGATAGCAGGGGCCTCTGTTGTCAAGCAGAAGAAAGGCAGAACAAAGCTTGGTGGCTTAGAATGAGGGAGGGGGTGAAACTGGACAAATTGAGGCTAGGAATTAGGCACAGTTTTTTGACAGCAAGATAAACTAGTCAGTGGAATGGCTTGCCAAAGGAGAGGTGCATTCTGTATGACTTGGGGTAGATCTAAAGATCTGCTTGGGCCAGTTCAACAAGCAGTAGTATGTGGATGCTAGAGTCGCTGACTGTTTTCTGGCTGCTGTGAGGCAATACCTCACCTTACATGATCATACTGGTCCCTTCTTGCCATAAAGATCTATGGATTTGTAAGAGTTCTGCAGAGTCACCTTTGCTTCTCTGTGAAGGAACATGGCTTTTGTGGCCCCTTTCACAGAGGAGGACTGAGGTGATCCTATGCTGTGGTTGCAGCAGCTAATGCTAGGGTATCTCTGTGCAGCATGTGTAAGCATGTCCAACGTCAAGGTAGCTTTGCTATCTGCAGTGACTCTGGAACAGCTGATTTCAGCATGGGCTAGGTGCTTAAACATGTCTCAGACTTGATTTTGGTGGGCTTGATTTTGGCATGATGGCTAAGTTAAAGCTAGTTCAGGTATGCCTGTATGTGCTATTTCTTGCTCCCTCATTCAGTTAGACCTCAGTTTCTCATGAATTCTGGGATCCTGGTTTTCTCTGTTTAAAAATCCCAAATTCTTTGTTTAAAACACAAAATTATCTGATTAAAACCCCCCAAAATCTGCAGTTTTCTGTGATTAAAATGAAATGCCACTATATATATA